TTGCTCAATTTTCTCCAGATGGGTATGCTAGTACATCTAGAAATGAACAAACGGAGTCGACATTTCCGCGATTCTTTCATTTTACTAGCGCGCCATTACTCATGAAATAAATTTATAAGAACAAATTTTTCTTCGTTTTCGAAATATAAATTATAATGCAATGCAATTATTCTCCGTCCAAGTCGTTATAATTATTTATCAATTCCAAAAAATTTTATAAATGCTCGTTTAAGACAAATATTACGTAATATATTTTATATCACGATTGTCGTATAATAATTGCAAACGTAAAATGAGAAATAAGACTAGAGATAGATAATGAACGTTGCATATCAGTGTTACCTTAACATCCACATTAAACCAAATGATCAATGTTACTATATGAAATATACTATACGATACAATACATTTAAATATTACAATTATTAACTATTAATTTTAAATTAATCACATTCATTTTCATGAAAAGAAGCTTAAAATAACATTAAAAATCTTTATTTTCATATATATATATATATATATATATATATATATATATAGCACTTAAGTGAACGTAAACAAATTAAAAATATATATAATTATATTAATATCAAAGATGAAAAAGTAATTTGTATTTTGTAGTAACTTTTAGTAATTTTTTAACTAATTACAGCCTATTTAAAATATTTGAACAAGCTTAGGGAAAAAGTTGTATATCATTTAAGCAATATCATTATATATATATATATATATATATATATATATAAAACAAGACAGTGACTTTTACTTTAAATTAATATAAACATTGTTATCGTCTATTGGTCTGTATTGGATACATTTGGAAAAATAATTGAAAGACATACTGCAATTTTCATTTAATGCATTTCAATAGGCGAAGTTAATTACTGTAGTAGTAAAAAAAATCTTAATATTAACTCTCAATAATACAATTTTCTCAAAATTCCGTCAATACGATATACTTAATACCAATCAAATTTTCATTATAAATACAGACTGATTTTGAATTAGAGTTGCTTTATATATATATATATATATATATATATATATATATAGGAGGTGAGAAAAATAATTTGGAAGTGATCTTTGCGAAAGTGCCTTCTCAAAACCAGAACCGAGAGTGTTTTAAAATGTCGTCTTAAGGAAGTAGCCTCGCCTACCTACTCACGCTAAAAAAGAGAAAATCCCAGGTGCGTGTACGCGCGTATTTGTGCGCGATAGAGAAACACATCTAAACTTTCAGATTACAAATGTTCGGTCTCGCGTACTCTACTTAGACAGAACACCGAGACTACACCGAGTATTCGAGATTTTTACTGCTCAGATCTCATGGACTCGCTAATCAATGTATTCAGTACTTCCTTACGTCATTAGCGGCCTAAGCGTCTGTCCAAAGTTGTCCGATGAGTTTCGGCATTATCACAAAATTTACCGAAAAAAAATAATGTGAGCGACGAGACTTCCGTAGAAAGATACAAAGGGAAAAGAATATACGAGAGGCATACGGGTGACAAAACTTGAGAAATAGAAATAACGTATATATTAGTTTTTAAATGGACAAAACAGGTCTTAAGACATACGAAAAAAGTAGGACTTACCAACGAACCGACACGTGTAAGATTACTTATCATTTTCCATTTGATATTTTAACTTAATTTTTTCATTTCTTTTATTATTTGTTGTTTTTTACCTAAGGAATTTATTATTTTTCTTTTTATAAAATACCTGCTAAAATACCTTTGGATATTTGGATGCTTTATGTCTACCAACTCCAATGTTACTCTTCTGATTATTTATTATAAAATGATCTTTATATGTAAACAGATTAATATCAAATAATTACGTTCAAATACGATAATCTAACTTTTTTTTTTTTTTTAAATCATGATACTATATTTTATTTCAAACGATATATAATAATGTAACACTTTCAATTTCTCTGTAACTAATCTTATATTATCGACTGATAGAATAGTTTTAAATCAGTTTAAATCGTTATTGTAGAAAAAAAAAAAAAAAAAAAAAGGACTCGATTGCAATCGTATTGGTTGAAAAATTGATATATTATTTTATTGTCATTGATAATTTTTAAATATTGACATTGAACGTTCTTTAAAATTTTGACTCCACAAAAAATAAGTATCTAATTAATCTTTATTAAAGATCGTATACGAATATTCATTATTAACTACTTAGAGTTATTTGTTTTACATTAAATTTCTAAATTTCTAATAGGTAGTATTTAAAATTTTACTAATGTTTATGAAATGTTTCTATAAATTTTTTTTTTTTTGTATACATTATGAAAATAAAGCTAAATAATACAAGAATTGGTACTATGTAACGGGTGACATTTCCTTAACTTTCAAAAAGTCGCTTTTATTCTTATTTTAAAATACAACTACAATATATAGTACAATATGAATTATTGATAGACAAAAAATGCTTTTCACTTACAAATTTTAATTTATATAGAAGCCTTTTAATATATTCTTTAGGTATTTCTAAAATTTATTGAAATTTTTTACAAGGTTTTTCTTCTTTTCTTAAAATTAGACAAAATTTGAATAAATCCTGTTCGATTTATTTAGTTTGTTTTTTTTTTTTTTTTTTTTTTTTTTTTTTTTATTATATAAAAATATTATTTTTAGACACGTATATAGCTTCTATTATTTATTTAATTTAATTATTCCTTTACCAATTATTCTACTTCTCTAAATCGATAATTTTATTAAAAATTCATATTTTTTTATTTTTAACCGCATAGAAATTAAATTTTTTATACCTTTTGTTCGCGAGTTTATGAGAAAATCTATCCATTAGTGAGCCTCTTGATGCCATATCGTATAATCGGCAATTAGATACAATTTTAATATTATTGATACAAATTGTAAATAAATTATTTTATTCGAATACATATGTGTGTGTGTTGTGTGTGTTTTTTTGTTTGTGTGTGTGTGTTTGTGTGTGTTTGTTTGTGTGTGTTTGTGTGAAGAAAATCTTAAAAAAAAATATTAATTTAACAAAATATTCTGGGCAGTGTAGATTTGCAGAATAGTATTGAAAACAAGTAGATACGATTTTAGAACTTCAAAATATTCTTTTTTATATTTTATGAATAATATTTCAGAAATATTAATTTTCTTTTAAAGAGTTTTTCTCTGTTATACATTTTAATAATAATAATAATGTTTTACATTATCGTTTAAAGTGAAAATTGTATTGCAATTGATAGAATATAACGTGCTATATTATATTTTAACGATTTCATTATAATATCTAATGACTTGAAGCCAATTAATTTATTTACAAAGTATTACTTACAATTACATATCATAAAAAAGCTATTAGTATGTAATTTAACATGTATAACATTTGTAATAATAGCAAGTTTAAGAAGCAAGTATTGTTATGTATTTATGTTTCTTGACGAATTATGAGCTCTTAATAAGCACTGTTTTAAAAATCAAATGAAAAATCTAACTTCTCAAATTAAAACCAAATTCAAAACATTCAACTTTGCAAAGAGCGTCAATGATACATGAATTATAAATTCGCAATTAATAATTGATTTATGTAAGCATGAATTATAAAGCATCAGGGCTGTTAATCTACGTGCACATAATTTTAATTGGCTTTTAAACAATCATGATGTAGCAATGATTTGTTTATAGATAAAAACGGTGCTCAAGGAGCATCGATCGCATTATTTATAAACACATTACAAACAGTGCCAGTATTATTATTATTATTATTATTATTATTATTATTATTATTATTATTATTATTATTATTATTATTATTACATGAATGCATTAGCAAATTAGTAAATAGATAATTTGACAGACAGTGAAATAAGAAATAATTTAAATACACTGAAATGTGCAGGTAATGTTTTGACATCAGAAAAAATTGGTGGCTACAAGTGTATATATATATATAAAAAAAAAAAAAAAAAAAAAAAAAAAAACTCTTTTAAAATGAAAAAATTAGCTTTGAATTTGCATCTTAGAACGTCGCGAAACTTAATTATTTAAGAAAGAGAAAAAAAGTTAAATTGTTATCGAATGTTTGATTGGACTAGGTAAGAAAATTTTATAAATAAATAGTTTAATTAACTTTGAAAAATAATAGTTTATTTTTGAAATTCTAACTTGTTTTAAGGAGAGAACGATATAATAATAATGTTTATAGAAGATATATAATTCCTTGGTTCTCATCACAATGCAAGCATAACTTATAGATTTTCATATCTGATTAAGAATGAGCTGTCTAACAATATCAAGTAAACACCAAATGAATTTTATTCCATATTTCAAATACAATAATGTCCAACAGCTGTTACATTGGAAAACTCGGAAGGGAAAGTTAATTATAATTTTCATTAGCGTTGAGTCGGACGAGGGTTTAGATTCGAACAGAGTCTACTGAGAAAATGTAGCTTTTCATTAGCTCGCAAGTGCCTTCGCGATTGAGGATTTTGGGTGGCGCTGGGTGGCAAGAGACGGGGGTACGGGGATGGGAGCGAAAAGAGACCTAGAGACCGATAAAAATGAACAATCTAGGGCAACGGTAGGCGTCCTTCGCCTCCATCTTCTTAGTTCGACCCCCATATTTTCGCGCCTTTTATCCGCCCGTTCCAACTGTTCTAGCAGACCGCACCGAGCGTATAGCAGACTACGACCGACGGCCGCCCGCAACGAGCATAATGGACCGCCATCCGCGGCGTCGTCTGCTACGATCGTCTGGCGGACAGCTGAAGATCCACGCGAGCGCGTTCCATGCGATTCCTCGACTTGGACCGACCTTACGAAGGGGGCTTCGTATGCTATACGCAGCCGCGGCTCGCGCTTCGCCCGGGCACCCGGCCGGCTAGCTGTATTATGTAACCAGCGAGCGACCGCGGGCGCTCGTTAACTCCTCGGTAAAGTGAGGTTAGAATTGCGACTCGGGGATCGCTGGGGTTAAGGGAGGGTTAGATGAGGAGAAACCTTCGAGCGTACCTGGCAACGTCGAAGAAGTCCGGTGCTGCTGGCCGCTTGTTCCGAGCTGCTGCGGAAGCTTCTAGTTGATAAGGCAGTTGACGCGATATTACGATGGAACTGGCGGATCTTCTCCGCACGGGCACAGAGCCGACTCGAACCTAAACACGCCATAGCAAAATGTGCAGTGAGCCGAACCTGCCTGCCTACCGAGTATCGTGCCGACTGCGCCGCGAGAATCCGAGACGACGAGCCCCGCCGCCGAGTGCCCGACACTTTCGAGAGTTCCTCTAGTCCCCACCGTATGCCGCTGCGTATCCCTTCTCACATCGATCCGCGTTGGCCCGCGCTATCGACACTCGCTGTTCAAAATCCCTTCTTCCCGTGGTGAACTATAATCCCGCGTGCCGTTTCTCTTTCCCCTTATAGACAATTTAATCACTATTAGTCTCATCGGATTATAATAAATATTCCGATTATATTATATAAATACTCCGACTCTTGCGAGTATGGATAACTCGTTTGGGGATAGGTATCCTTTCCTTCCCTTCCGCTGCTCATTCTTTGGTCATTTGCTTCTTTCGCTCTTTCCCAATCCAACCAACTCAATTCAATTTTACTTGCTTTTTTTTTCTTCTTCTTTCTTTTACATATTTATATATAATTAATTATTATATTATTATTATTATTATTATTATTATTTATATTATTTACATTTAATTCCGACTTTGCGTCAGCCATTCATCAGTTTTTCGTTCGTTCTTTTTTTTCTTTTTCTCTTTTTCCTTTTTTATTTTATTTTTTAATTATTTTTTCAATCCTCTAATTTTTATTTTGTGTCTCTAATTATATTTTATTTGCTTACTATTTGTTTATTTATTATCGAGAAATTTGCCCCAATTTCATCGATGCCATTTCGCTCTAAGCGTATCCAGTTGGTATTCGACAATTTAATGCCCGATTTATCCCATCAATATTTTATATGATTATCAAACGTGTGCAAACAATCATTCCTTAAAATTAAAGTTCAACTTATCAACAATGGAATTCTAAATACGTGCGTATCGCCTCGTATATATTATGTATATTATTTATTGCCCTCTTAATGCGCTACATACGTAGGCTCTTGTTGAGCACATTTTTTAATTGAAATAGAGACGTATTAAAGAAAAAAAAAAAAAATCCGATGCAATGTTAACGCGTTTATTTGAGAAGAGCTGTCATTTGCTAGGGGCTGGAGATAGGCAGATGAGTTGACTTGGGCAACAAGTTAAGAAAATGAAAATTTTAATCAAATGTAAAACATTTGTTACAACACTTATTTCTTTATCTTATCCCTCGTGCAACAAGAACGGAATATACGAATGATGGCCGAAAACAATGAGAGAGATCTCTCGAACGAGATTAAGAATTCAGCGTTTCGTAAGGTAATAAATAATTGTAAACTTATTAGGGATGTGCGACCATTGCCACCACTTCTGTAGATGCCCAAGTAGAATTATAATTTTGTCATTTATGGGCAATCGTATGAATTGTAGATAAGACAGACAACCGTAGGTAAGACAGATCTCTATTTATCACACATAGCATTAATAGAAATGTGAAAAATGGCTGGAATATTCGTTCGCTATTTTGAAGTAGCACTATCTAGATTTGAAAATGCAATCGTTTCTATTATGGAACGTCATTTACAACCAGGTACATTATTCCCTTTTTATTTCCTTTATTTCCAATCGTTTTATAATCCATTTTGACTTTCCATTTGAAAATTTTTATACGCTAATCGCAGTAGAAACTACATAACCTTACACACTGACTATTCATTTTCAACGATAATAAAAATAAAAATTAATTGTTACAATATTCAGAATTTATGTGCTCTGATTCTTTTTTGTCTTACAATACATTTATATTCCTAGCTACAAATTACCTTTTATACGTTGCATAAATTAATCATTGATTGTTTACATTTTCAAATCAATATCTACATATTTATTTATTTTTACTCAATTTTATAAGATTTCTGCATTGGTGCATTGAATCAACAAACGTCCAAGCCCAAATTTACAATTAAAAATATTTTGAACGATGGATTACTTTGGGCTGTACCAAAACACAGGCGTCCTCTTGAAAAACGTTTATCTCGCAAATTTGGATTTCCCCAATATAATTGGAAACCACTTGTACCAAAAACTAATTTGTTAATGTGCAAACGCTGCGGACATTTTCATGAATCTTATACTATTTGTGGTAAATATAAGCTTTACTCGAGCAAATCCTTATCTTAAAAGTACTTTATTATAAGTGATATTCGATATAATTATTTTTGCATAAATAATATTTCTATCATGTTTTATTCAAATTGTTTTCAATTATGAAATTCGATATCTTAAGATTTATTACTTAAATTCGGATACAAATATCTATATTTATATAATATTTTAGGACATTGCTATCAAAAAGTGAAAGAAGAATCGGAAGCGATTCATAAAGCCATTGACCAATTAAAAGTTGAACCAATAAACAATGAACTTGTCATTTTATACGAAGGAGAAAAAAAATTGAAGCCAGATCAATTTTGGCAGGTTAGTTAAAGAAAATAAATTATAAATAAAAATTGCTATCTTTTTTCAATAATAATTGCATAATTATTTTACAACTAATAAATTCATTAAAATTTATGAAGTATGTAGTAGGACTACTTTGGAAAATTTTTATTTATAGGGTCGACCAATAGTCGAATTACCAAAGAAAAGACCAACTTGGTTTCATCAAAATTTACTTGAACCTACAACACAAAAACTGTCCGATAGCAAAGAAGTCGAGCCCAATAATTTAGGATAAAAATATCTTTTATTGTATTTCTCATTTTATACACTATATAAAATAAATATATAATAAATATATCGTATATAACGTCCTTTAAATTATTTATAATAAAATAACAAAATTTTCTATATAAAAATCTTCACATATTTATTTCATCACTTATTAAATAAGATTATAAATTAACCAAATATTGCTTTAAATGTTTTCATTTTGTTTAATTAATATATTAATTAGGTAAGCATTTCAAAGCCATCTGTTGTTTCTGATGTAAAATGACTAATAACATGTTCGTGAAATAGCTCGAATGAAACAGATTTTTTATAAATAGTACCACACAAGGGACAGATATTTTCGTCTTCGGTAGTTTGAATTTTTCTATCTGGTGTTAAACTGATAATAGGAAAACTGGTTTGAGTTGCGTCGTTTTCTTTTAAACTACAATGTAAATCGAATTGAGTTCCAGTTTGACACATTAATTTTGTTATGCTATTTTTACAATTATTGCAAGTTTCATCTATAAAATAAATATAATAAATATATAATAATACTTTTCAATACTTTGAAAGATACAGCTTCTAATAAATAATCCATACGTACTCTTTTTCTTTTTTTTTAAATTCTGTAGAGCATTTTTTAATTTATTTTGCTGAATCATAAGTTCTTCCTTTAATTCAGTAAGTTTCGTATCGTGATATTTTAAATGTTCTAATGAATCCGTATGTAAATCTTCTGGATAGGTGAAACCAATATTTTTAAAATTCATTTCAGTATTTGATTGTAATTCCACTATCTAAAGAGCATTAATATAAATATATAATAAAAATTTCAGTAAGAAATATAAAATAATCGTTTTACTTACATCGGCATATTGCTTCTCTAACTCTGACTTTTCTATCATAATACTATTAATTAACCTTAGAGATATTTCTTCTAAACTATGTTCTTTTTCTTAAAAAAAAAAAAAAAAAACAGAATGTAACGTATGTAATATAAATTTTTATGCTAATTCACACAAACTATTGTTACAAAAATACGTGTATATATATATATATATATACTTCAAATAAAAAAAAAAGATTACCTTCATTATCTGGAAAATTAGATTGATCGATTATGCTATTTCTGAAAATTTCTGGTATTTCTTTAAAACTATAAGTTAAAGCTGCAGGAATTTCTGACGTTGGATACTGTTTCAATGTATCAGAAATTTTTGTTAATTGATTGCCTGAAGATTTATTCGTTCTAGTCAATCTAGTCAATCTTTTCCACAATTGCCTATTTTCCGAAGAAACCATAAAAATATGATGAACCAGTTGTAATTTTTGTTTTCTTAGTTCCTCAATTTTTTCCTAAATAGATAATAATAATTCTCATATGAATTAAAATTTATGATAAAAATAAAGTTATAAATAATAAAACATAAAATTTTTATAATGTTATGTTGATTACTATTTTTAAATAGCATACCTGTTGGTTTTGAATAATATGTTGGTCTTCTCCATTTACTCTTAATATTGTCATAGAATTATTTTTCTTATAATGCTGATGTAGATAAATATTTTCTTCTTCGACTATAGATAATCTTGCTTGCAGTTGTTGACATCGTTCCTTCATTGTTTGAAATGCAAGTTGTAATGCACATTGCGATTCAATATTATTCTTTTGTTCCATACTAAATAGAATTTTTCAAGTTAACTCCTATATTCATTTACATTAAATATGTCACTAATTATAATTAACCCAAATAAACAGATTAAAATATCGTTATTATATTGAGATTTGCTGTAACAATGATAAATATTATATTATAAACAATATAGAAAGAAAATCAAAATAAATTGAAATTACCTCTAAACTAAAACTATAATATTGAAAATTTCACTTTTCCTTAAAGCTTAATATTAATCCTATAAGCATTATTATCAATTTTAGTTCGTTATTTTATAATAAATATAAACGTTGTATAAAAATTATGCAGAAACTAAAATCTATATTTCATATAAGATATGGTTATAACGTTATCTTTCGGCTCGGACGGTAATGCAGAGACAAATTTTACGTGTAAATTGGAATCAAGTGTATCTACAAACTATGAATATCTAAATTTAATAATAAAGAACAAAATATTTGAGTAGAAATATATGTTAAATTAATTGAATGTAGTTAAGTTAATTGTAATAGCTCAAACTTCTCGATCAAAGTTATAGAACGCCTATGTTAAATAAAGTTATTAAACACAATTTTTAAAACAAAACTTTATTTGAATTTAATACGATACCGTGGTATTAAAATAATAGTTTTGTACTTTGTTGTTGTATTTAGATTTATAATTAAATAAAATAATTCAGTTGCTTGAATAATGAAATTATTTAATTGAAAAGATTATTTAATTAAAAATTATTATTAAGTGTAACGAAATCGTGTTTGACGAATAAGACATCTGTCTTTTACGTAGCTCAAATGTTCAAGTTTATTGTAATCGAACACAATAGACAACAATGTTAAAACAATAAGTTAACGCTGGTCTCCCACATAGTGAAGAATCCTGGTACATGCAAAAACAATATTCTACAGAAACTTATTATACCTAGTCTCGATCTCTTGGAAATAACTATATGTAACACTAATATATTTAGGGTAACGATTCTACTTTCAGAAGTGCACCTTAAATCGATGTAAAGTTCTATCGCAATAAAGATTAAATTAATTACCGCTTCAAATAAGGTTTATACTAATTGATATTTTAATACTGATAGATCAAGAGCTGGATAATCTACGTGCACGAAATGAAGAAGATAATCTAAATCTAGAAGCACAAAAGATATCGCTCTTCAATCTCAATTTCTTATTCTAACGGATTAACAAGTAGCCCAATCCAACATGTATATTAAATGATAATAATTGCCAAAATTAAAATATTAAAGCATGAATTTCAAAATTCGCTACTGTTCCTTATACTCTTCTATTATATAGATTTCTGGCCGACGTCGTCAACCTCTTAGAATTAAATTGATATTTAATAATAATAAATAAATATCTCAAATCTTTGTTGATTTACAGTTTAAAGATCTACAATAAATTAATATTTTGTTCGTTATTAATTATATATTTTTTCACACTATTAATGTTAAAATCTGTGACTACCCAAAATGATAATTTGGTAAAGAATAGAATATTTACTATAATCTATCTAGAATAAAATAAATACAATACAATCAAATCAAGAAACTATGAATTCTCATAATAAAAGGTAAATAATGGGTGTTTAAAAAAAAAAAAAAAATGCAAATACTATTATTTAATTATGATTATAATAAAAGAACCAACACTATTAATAAATATTACTGCTATTAAAGAAGTCCAATATTTCGTATTGGAACCAACCTTATTATTATTATTATTATTATTATTATTATTATATAAAAAAAAATTTTTTATTAATGGAATAAATAACGTGATGTACTTTCTTCATTTATTGTGATGTTAATAAATGTACATTTGTGAGAAAACAAAACTATTTGTTTACAAATTAAATATATATTAAAAAATCTTATCTAAATAATTGAAATAATTATAAAGGTTATATTATAAATTCCCTGTAGATGGCGACAAAATAATAATTTTTTACCAAATGTTCGTTGCAGATGCGACGTCTACCTGTATCCTATATTCTATAAACTGTATAAGTAATCTAATAAATTATAGATATGATCGCAATCTTCCTAACTTACCGAATTAAAATACGAATATATGTAGGAAATAGAATGTTTCATGAAGCAATAGTTTTCTGTATTTAAAAGTATAACCGACGGTGATAGGATAATTAAAGAGCATTGACATGCGCTAAGTAGAACGAACAATGATTAAATAAATATTGAATTTTCAAAGATTCAAATATGATATAATTAGAAAATTAGTTCATTAACAAGCTAGCAATAGCGTTTAACTACACATTAATCTCATTTCACAGTGATACGAATAGCCGAACATTGATACTCCCTATATAATAGAGAGGTTAATGTAAAAAAAAAAAAAAAAAAAAAACATATCGTCAACACTATCGATTTCACATTCAAGGTTGGAAATTCGTAGGTGAAGTGCAGGTTTATTTACCAAGGCACCTGCAGGAGTCGTATTATTGCACCTTGCCTCGATGATACGAGACATGGCGGATGACGAGGCCACTCAAGCAACGAATAACGACGCTAGCGAATGTAAAAGAAGTGCAGTACAACTTGGCTATTGGACTGACAACTTCATCAATTTCTTTGTCAAACAACCCAGTCGCAAGGCACCCGAAATCAATCGCGGATATTACGCTCGTGTCAAAGGCATTGAAGTGTTCATAGACAAGTTTATCAAGGTCATTAAAGACCATTTGTACCTATCAACATTCTATTATATATCCAAAAAATTATACGGCACGATAAGTAAATATATTATATGGAGACTTTGATTTAATTCTCGCTATATCCTAACTGGTTTCAATTCTTTGAGGTGTACTTTACAAGCTGGATAAAAATCATATTTATATGCCTATCTATGAATTAAATTAATATATTGCCAATATTAATTTTTAAAATATTACCCTGAATATTGTTCATTGGAATTTTTAGTGGTATTCATGTTTTTTGTTATATGTTTTTTGTTCATCTTATAACTTTACAATGTAAATTATATTAACGTGCATGAATTATATATTGTTGAATAATTTCCTTCAACATGTATATGTAACCATCGATTATTACCTTAAATATTTAATATTTTATTACAAATTATAAATCTAATTTACTATTATTCTTTTTGTAAACAACTCAATACGTTACCATTATGCGTTACCACTGCATTAATCTATTATTTTTAATGAGTATTTTGATTTTTACTTTACACTGTAATAAAGAAGAAATAAAGTTTAGAAAAAAGTGAAAAATAATTAGATTAAATTAATTAAACTTTATATGTAAAATTGGAAGAAGAGTCGTTTGGTTTTTAGTGAATATCGTTGGATTAATATTATCAAAATTTCCAAAAATTATTCTATAGGGGAAAAAAATATATTTTTTTTCAATAATATGATTTCTTGTAAAATCGACGAATTAATTAGGTTAATAACGAATAGCTAATAACGAATAAAATCCGAGCACGTCACTTAGCCCTGATCCAATTTAATCATGATTATTGTCTATTTTTAATCTTCTCATTTGATCTATTCTAGCATTACGTATTCTAGCATTTTGCTGACCAGTAAAACGTTATAAGATTCGTAAAAATAGGCCGAAAACTATATAAACTAGTAGTCTGTGCGAATCAGGAATTTTTAAATTATATGCAAATTACAATCATTGAAATCATTTTTATAATAGCATTTGGCCCCTTTCATTTTTCAATATAATAATTTTAACTGATAATCGATTTAAATATAGTATGCAATTTGTTTCCTTTTCTCTGTTTTCTTACGTATGCTATGTACCATATTTTACATTATTATTATTATTATTATTATTATTATTATTATTATTATTATTATTATTATTATTATTATTATTACTATTCTTATTTTTGACTACATATTGTTAAATTGATATATGCTAATTATAAACTTAATATATTTATCGACAAAAATCAGATTAAACAGCTGATAAGATTGATTTTTTTTTTAATATAAGATATTCTTTAGGATGATGCAATACAAATAATCATAATGGAATTAGAATTTACAATGCTAAAAGTACTTAATTTCAAGATTAACTATCATCGAAATATAAAGATATCACTCAATATATATTTGAACTTTTCACAAACTTTTAAAATCGTAATTTCAACTAATACTTCACGTGCAATTTGACTCTTGTAAAAGTTGCCCGTTAATAATAAATAAATCAAAAAATAATTTTATTTAAATTCAATTGATATTTAATGATTTACTGTAGATTTAACATACAATATTCACTTCACAAATTTTCTATAAATCTATAACATTAAGTAAGTCTATTCTATACTTATCATTAAGTATATTAAATTACGTAATAATATAGATTAAAGTATAGTATAAGAATGCTAATTTTCCATGAATTGATTTTAAATATTAAATAATTTTTTAGATTACTGGAGGTAATGGACAAATTATCAATTTAGGTGCTGGTTTCGATACTCTATATTGGAAACTAAAAGATGCTGGAAATATACCGATTAATTTTGTTGAGCTAGATTTTCCAAATATCACTGCAAAGAAATGCTATCACATAAAGAAGCATAAGCAACTTATTGATAGATTAAATACAGAAGGTAATCTGTGCAATTTCTTTATGAGTATTATTACTTTTAACGTACGTTTATTATTTATAGACGGAGAAATTAGATTTTCTACGACAGATCTTCATGCTGCAAATTATCACTTGGTTGGTGCGGATTTAAGACACCTATCAGACCTTGCAAATAAATTGAAGCAGGCTGAAGTTAATTTCAGTCTTCCTACCTTGTTCCTGGCAGAATGTGTATTAGTTTATATAGATTCTAGTGCCACCTCCCTTTTACTTAAATATCTTGCTGAAATATTTTCCAATTCTGTTTTTATTAATTATGAGCAAGTTAATATGAAAGATAAATTTGGACAAGTAATGCTTTCTAATTTGCGAAGTCGAGGCTGTATGTTAGCAGGAGTGCAAGACTGCGAATCTTTAGAATCCCAACAGAGGCGGTAAATATAATATTTATTCTAAAATATTTTAAATTCAAGAGATTTAGCATAAAGAATCAATAAGTTACTCTTTATAGTTTTACAATAAACGGTTGGAAAAGTTCCTGTGCCTGGACTATGGTTGATATATATGATTCATTACCTGCTACCGATAAATTACGTATTGAGCATATTGAAATGCTTGACGAACGAGAACTTCTTATTCAGCTATTGCAGCATTATTGTATTTCAATCGCATGGAATGGAAATACGTTTAAAAATTTTTCTACTATATAGGACTATGCTTACCTATATTAATCGATTAGTTCGGATGGTACTGCAGAAAATAGTCATGAGCTTATTGAATGCTGCTTGAATTTAAAGAATTGGATGGTGGCATCGTGTAATTAACGAAGCAAGTCAGTTATTTACTAATAAGTTATGTAACATTTCTAAGTTCTACACAGAGTTAATGATTCAGTAGAGACTGATCATATTTAAAGATTAGATATTACAATTTGAGATGAACAGAGCGAGCATTTAGTTTTTTATTTAGTAAAGTACAAGAAAATAAATAATATACAAATGTGTATGTAGATAATATACGTAATTATAATGAAGTTTAAACTTCAAGAGTAAAAATCTATTTTTCTTAAATTAATAATGTATTTTGTAATTTTCGTTTATTTAAAATTCATATATTTTTTTCTTTTTTTTTTTGTAAAATTTGTAAAAGCAGGTGATATAATTTAAAATATTTAAATTGTACAGTCAATATCTTTTATCTACAAACATTACGTTTTTAAGTAACAAAAAATAGTGTTATGATAATTTTAAACGGTTTAAAAAAAAAAAAAAAAACATTCTATTAAATATTGAATACAATTAAAATGGCATATTTTATTAAGTTCGGATAAAATATTTCTAAAATTGTTAATATAGGCCGTTCATCAAAATGTATACAATTTTGTTTTATTATACAATACAATTAATTGTTGGCTGTAACGCTGAAAATTTGTTTATAGACTGAGCTTAAATATAAATATAAGGAAATATGCGAGAATTGATTATAAAAATCAATACATAATTATTACACAGTGTTTAAAGAAAAAACTTTTAATTTTTTAACCAAAAATATTTGCTCAATATGAAGTATTAAAGTAACAAGGGCCAAAATTAATGTTTATTAATAAAGTATTCTAAATTGTATGTTTCTAATAAGTGATCTTAAGGAAAGTATGAAATAGTTAAATACTAGTTAAATAACGTTATTGTATAATTAATTTATGCGTTAATTATTTGAATTTAATTATTTCAAAACAGTATTTATTTCATAATTTCGTTTTCTTACAATTAAATGAGGGCATAAATAAAATCCATGTATTTTCATTAAATATTTCATTATTATATTTGAGCAATTGATTAAACCATTATTTGAGTAAAAGTAAATGTTAAAATTCAAATTTTATCTTAGTCGGTTGTAAGATTTCTAAAATTCATCATAGTTGTTTTTAAATTTGCCTGTAAATTTCTAAAAACAAATGTATAAATGTATTAAACTGTAATCTATTTTCAAAATCAATTTAAAATGCATCTATACTACTTAAAAAACCTAAAAGTGATATGTATTAATAGATATATTTATTATAAATTAAATAATAACTTATTTAAATTCTAAATTTCAAATTTCAATAGTTTAATTTTGTATAATGTGTACCAATACCTTACTAGACTTGATTTTGTAGATATTTAAATGAAATATAAATAAATGTTCATAATTTAAATGTTAAATTAATGTTCTTATTTTACAAATATATTTACTTGTACAATTTTAAATATTTAATGTATTAAAGTGTTCATTCACGTTGTAATGTATTCACCTTCACATAATGATACTGCCAGTGTCGAGGCACAAATTATACATGCCATAATTTTATTAATGTTTTGTGACATATTTCTTACATATAATTAATTAATTGAATTAAAAATGTTATCATTTTATCAGATACTACATAGAATTTGAATTTAAGTATTATCTTAATTTCAAGCCAATATTGCAAAATAACTAAAACTTCCTATATGTATACATTGTTAATTCGATCAAACTTATAATTAATTCTAGTAATACTATTCTATCTCTATTGGTATAAATCTAATTTTAGTAAAAATAATGGGTGAATTTGAATCTAACATTCTGTTGAATGCATTTTTACAATGATTTTCATACAGCTCTTCAAATATTACCTACAGAATACTATAAAAAAAAAAAAAATTGATGGAGATTGATCGATGAATTAATATTGCTATTTCTCTTTTAAAAATCATAAATTATTATAAAAATATTCAGACTTTAGAAATTTCTATTCGTATCATTATGCCAATACGGCATAAACTTTCATAAAAATTAATCAGAAGAACTTAAAAGCTTATAATCTTGATCTTAATATATAAATATAGATATATTTAGATATATAGATATATAAGTTTATATTTATTAATTGAAAAATATCTTCGAAAATAATTCCTTCCGAAAATAATTATTACTATGAAAAATTTTTTCCCTCCTCCTAAATCAAAATTCCAATCATAATGAACTATAAACAACAAATTCCAATAATTGTGTTGTTTATTAATGCCATTAATGATTATCACTTTCTTAAAAAATGGAGCAATGGAAAGAACACAGAATTAAAAAAGGAGCGATAATCTATGCAAAAAGTATACGATAAGATATGCGAAAAGTAATTTTAAAAGCTACAAATGTAATTTCATTCGTCCAAGAAGCCACCAGGGTAGGCATATGAATTAAAGCAAATGTCTATTATGAATCTATGAGCACAACATTAGAACAGTAAGGGATGATTTTTTCATAGAATAATTTTCTCTAGTAACTTTAGCTAGACTTACCAAACGTAAGTTATTGATTTTCACTTTTATTTAAAAATCTAACGATTTATTATCTAAATGTTAATGCCTAAACTATATTACCGTAGTAATAATAGATAGCTAAATCAGATAAAATATTGTGGTTATCAAGCTTTTATGAATTGACGCGTTTTACATACCTTGAAAATTTGACGCCAAACATTTCGTTGAAACATTAAAGAGCTTTATAATATTAATTTTATTTGTCGCTTCGAACATCCACATTAGGAGAAATTGATTTTTGAAAAATTCTACGAATGCAATCGTTCGAGTTCTGTGAATATAAAAGTACTCGATTGTCGGTTGCATCGAACATGAATTTGAAAAACAAAAAGAACAAGATTATCCGTCCTTCGGATTGTCTAAGACTGATATTAATTTTTACAAAATGACCATTGTCAGTTAAAGTAAAGTAATTTAAAACTTAATTGGCATATTACTTTTTATTAAATTAAAAAAATTAGATATTTTTACTGTTAAGTCCCTACGATAAATTAAATTATTTTGTTAAATTTGCTTATTTTATAAATTAATGGTACGATAAAGTGTTTCCTACAAATTTTAATTGAAAAGTGATATGATAAGTGATTTAATTGATAAGTGACTTAAAAGTGATACAGGTAAGTTTAGATAAATTGCCATGAATAAACTTTGAACTATTTTATAATTTTAATTAAAGCCGCGCGTCGATATGAATTCATTTGTAATATAATAATATTTAAAAAAAATTTCGATACAAAATCCCGTATACTTTTAAACGAGATATATTTTCATGCATAATTTTAAAAAATATTTAATAAATTACAAGTATGAAATTTAAAATTAAAAAATTTTTTATTTAATAATAAAACAAATATTTTTAAGTTATTTTTGAAAATTGATTTGTAACAAAACGCGTTCTGAATATCTGAATAATAATAAAAACATAATTTAAGAAATAATATTTATTATATAACTTACAGAAATAATCATTAATGACACTGATGATTATACTGTTTAAATGTTTTGATGTAAATTTATGTTTTAAAAATGACTTTTACTTATTGAAACTTTAAATAAATTGAAATTATTATTATATGAAAAAGTTTCAGCTATTTTATTACCTCTCGAGTTAATATAAAATTAGTAAAAAAAAAAATAAATATATATTTTTGTCTAAATTGATTTTATTTCTTTAAAAGGATCATATATTACATATTCTTATTCATTAAATTGCATTGCATCTTGCGATTCTAAACCTAATTATTATAAAGTTAATTTTAAATATTAAAAAATTTTATGCTTATATTATTTATTATTAATTTTAAAAAGTTTGTAAAATTACCTTTAAATTGTTACAAAAATAGAAGTAGAAAATTTGTGTATACATTATAAAATTTTTTTTTTACAGCATTTTACAGTTTGATTAAAGTAATCATATCACAATTATGGTTTACTTCTTAAGTTGCCAATACTGCAATATCATTTAACTAGTTCTTAAAATACATATTTTAATATTACAGTATTGTAAAAATTGAGAAAAAAAATTTAATTTAACATTAAAAACCGAGAGGATTTTTTTGAACGACTCCTCCTACGTCACAAATATTTCGGGATATTTTACTTAATTTTGTGTACACATCCAAATTCTTGGTAGTACCAACAGCTTTCAAATTTTCAGCCACACGACTAGAAGCCTGAATAATAAATTATTTATTTCATTAAAATATATGATAAAAATGAAGCCAATACACTTGATGAAGGAGTGTAAAATATACCTCTGTACACCACACTTGAGCCATTAGAAGTTCATGTTCAGCGCTTGAAACATTGTTAGTAAGAGATGCGCTTGCTCTACTTAAGACAGCAGCCATTGTGTATGTATCGATTGCAGCTTGTGCAAGCCTATTGAGAATAAATTGCTCGTCCACAATTCCTTTTCCATACTTAACAAGAATTGATTCAATTACCGAACCAAAAGATTCAACACTCTATGGGATATAAAATCAATATTACTATTTATTTATTGACACTCTTTATTTTATGTATAGGACTAGTTACTTTAACACATAGATCAGCAGAGTCCGCAAGGCTTGGATGAACCAAATGTGCTATGCTTGGTGAATTCAAGCCAATGACTCGTGTTGCTCTTCTTGATACTTCTTCAGCTATTAAACCTAAATTAGCTGTAGGATTTTTGAAAGCCTTTTGTAATTCTTTTAAATGACTTCCTGCATACTGAATGCCAGTTAATGCAATAAAAAGTCTAAGAATGTCATTGGTCCCCTCAAAAATTCTGAAAATTCTAAGATCACGTAATACTCTTTCAAGCCCAGTCGCTTTCATGAATCCCATTCCACCAAGAATTTGAATTGCTTCATCGCATACCCACCAAGCAGATTCTGATGCGAATACCTACATTTATAATTATTAAATTTAGTAATTATAAATACTGGTAATCCAAGTACTTACCTTTGAAATAGCAGCTTCTAAATGATAGTCTTGACTACCTGTATCCATATTACCAGAAACCATATATGCTACGGATTGTGTGATGTATTGTAACATTGACATACGAGCAAGTTTTTCTTGTATCGTTCCATAATTATTTATTGTACGGCCAAATTGTACTCGCTGTACAGCATGTTCAGTAGCTTTTTTTATACAACTTTGCATTGTTCCAGACAGAGCAGCTCCCATACCAAATCGTCCATTATTTAAAATTTGCATTGCAACCTACAGGAGTCAACATTATTTCAATTAAAAATATCAAAATTTAAAGTTATAAATATTATATAGTATTTTTCAATTATAGCATCAATAATTTACTTTAAACCCTTGTCCTTCCCCTCCTAATAGATTTTCAGCTGGAATTTTAACATCTTCATAATATACTTCTGTCGTATTACTGCATTTTATTCCCATTTTATTTTCTGGCGGTCCGTTAGTCACTCCACCAAATGCTCTTTCAACAATGAATGCAGTTACTTTGTCTTTAGTTTCCCCAGTTATTGGATCTTTTATTGGCACTTGTGCAAAAACTGTCATGATTTCAGCCAATCCTCCATTTGAAATCCAAATTTTACTACCATTGAGAATATAATGTGAACCGTCGGTAGATTTTATAGCTTTAGAGCGAACTGCACCAGCATCTGACCCACAACTAGGTTCGGTGAGACAAAAAGCAGCAACACTACCACTAGTAACTCTAGGTAAATACTTTTTCTTTTGTTCTGGCGTTCCAAATAGAAGTATTCCCTGCATTAAAGAAAATCATAGGTCAATTTTCAAACAGTTCCAAATTCAAATAACACGTTCGGATTAAAGAAATAATTAAATTTACCTTGAAACCAATACTTTGATGAGCACCCAATGTGATACCTACTCCTAAATCATTATAGCCAACAATTTCAACTAATCTTGCATATTGAGTATTATTAAGACCAAGACCACCAAGGTCTTGAGGGACCTGAATACCAAATGCACCAAGATCCCAAAGAGATTTTAACGTATCTTTATCGATTGAAGCATTTTCATCATTTTTAAATGGATTATTAACTTCCTAATAAATAGATCATTAATTATGTTATTTATAGTAGAAACAAATGTTTAATGTTACCTTAAAAAATGTTTCCATTGGATCAACTAGCATGTTTAAAATTTCTTCCTGCTCTTCATTCAAAGGCTTTGGATAAGGAAAGACTTGGTTCGTTTGCAATTGTCCTCGAAACATATTCATTGTAAACGATTGGGATTCTTTACTTCCTTGTGTTGCAAGACATCTACTTATTATAGATTGGTAATATATTTTCTTATTAAAAATAAAATTTTATTTTCATTAAAAGATAAATAAGGGCTTCTTAGGGGGAGGGACATAAATATTATGTTTGTTATACATAAATAAAAATTCTTCTGAAAAATTTTTAAGTTAAATAACTACGTTTACTTTAACGATTTTACTAGAACTTTTGTATAAGTATAATAAAAAATAAATTAAAATAAAAAAAAAAAAAAAAAAAAAAAAATTTTTTAAACGTACACGTATAATATATTTCTATAAAAAGACTTTATAAACAAAATATACAAACGAAATTACCAATTTTTTACAATTTAATAAACATCAAAATTTTGTTATGTAAATTTTTACGTTATTTGACAGACAATCTATACAAGATTATTTTCTTTTATCACGTAAAATAAACAAAATGCTTAAAGAAATATTATTTGTTTCCAGGTTCAAAGTCCATGATCCGTCTAGATAAATATACTTAAAAATTTAAAAATGAAAGAATGTATTGCCTTGACACTAAACATTATTTCATCTTGAACTTTGACACATTTTTATAAGCCAACTGACGGAATTCATTCACTAATATGCATTTCCATTTTGCATAAATAAATTGAAAATAATTTTATTACTACTCTGACTAAATATACCAAGCATATTATAAACAATATTTCAATATGTAGATCAAAATTAAACAATCATTACATCAAAATACTTTTAAACAAAAACATAAATACGTTTATACATAGGTCTATTAGCTTACATTCCAGTTTATTATTAGTTAATATGTGGTGATGGATCCACTGACCCAAACTTGGTACTAGTGTAAGTAAATTAATCATTATCAAACGATCTATGGTGAAAATACGTTATTCGAAAACAGAATACTCACCTCACATTTAAATCGACTATTTTTCGAAGGCTTTTTGGAACTAAAGCAAAAATTTTCGGAACTCGAATCATGATAGAATGTTTTTTTTTCTTTTCTTTTTCCTTTTTTTTTTCTTTTTTTTTTTTCTTTTTTTTTTTTTTTTTTCTTTTTGTTGAACAACAAGTAAGCTTAACTATATGCCAAAACTACCACGTATTCGTACTTTTACTACTTATGCGTTATCGTTTATCCTTTACAGAGTTCTAACTACTGGCAAAGATCAAAGCAAAGAGATGGTCAATTCAATACTTCAATATGAGAAAAGTGAAACGAATTCGATAGAGATGCCCCTAGCGGCCAAATTTTTCAAGCTCCGCGATCATTCTGTCATTAAGAGCAGCAAGGGAAAACTTGTAATGTACGGATTGTGTTTATACGCATAGGCAATGAGGAACTTTAAATATAAAATTACCTACATTTCCTACTACTATTTTTCAATATTTATCAACTACATATTAGAATCCTTAATACTTTTATTTTACATGATATCAATTATCCTTAATTACTTACACTTAATTTTTCGTTCCTTACAAATAATTCAATGCATAACGTGCTTTTTGATTTTTAAATCTTTGAATTCATTTTCATCCATGCTTTCGAATGTATTGGAAATTATTTCCTAACTCATTTAATAAATAAAAGAAATTGTGCGTACAATATTGCATAGTGGCATTGTTACAGATATTATTTTTATATTAATTGTGAAATCGTATCTTGAGTTATTTAAAGATTATGATAATATTTTTCATAGAATTCGTATTCGTAAGAACAATTAATAATTGATTATATAAATAATTGAACAATGAAATGTATCAAATAATAAATGTTTTTCTTATGATCTATTCAACATCAATATCTCTACGGCTTACTTATTTTATTGGTTATTTGATGTTACGAACATATATCACTGAATAATACTGTATCAATTATATAATTAATGTATACGTGGCGTAAATATAATTAATTGAAGAACAAGCAAATTTTAATTAAAATAAATTGCTTATTATTTCGCATAAACAATGTAATATATAAGTCGGCTTCGATACGTATTACTATTTATGATGTTACATTTATCTTTAAACAACTCTATATGTTTCACACATGAGAGGATAAAAATTTAAATAATTATCTCGTATAATGACAATGCCAATGTTTTTAATGAATACTGACAATTAGATTGTTCTACATTAAAATTAATCAAATTAATTACCACTTACTTATAACTAATGTAATAATTTACTAATGTAATTGACTAGAAAATGATGTTTGTCACGAATATTATATAATATATTATTATTGTTGATTTATCGTACATATATATACACACATACACACACACTAGTTTTTTATTTAATATTCAAAGTGAAAAGTTTGGATTTAGAGATTTAAGTTATTCAAAATTAGACGGAAAATTCTTTTTTAATAATTGTTTATTTAGTGGTATACCGGTGATTTTTAAATTTTATTAAAATTTACGCAAAAGTTATTACTCAGTTAACTAAAAAACTAGAAATCCTTTAATGAATTTATAATTTTAACAGTAATCGAGCAAATAGGAAAACTTGTTAAATAAAGAACGTAACATTTTTCATTTTGAAAGATTATGAAAATGATGTATAGCAAAATATGATTTGAACGTATATTTAACGAAGTTCCTAAAAGAAAGCCGCTACAAATTTTCTCGATGTTATTCTCAATTACATGTTATACATCTATGTAATCATATACGTAAAATTACTTTTAAATGTATACAAATGAAAAAACTACATTATTTTGTATCTGAATATATGCAAAACGAATAAAAACTAATTACAGGCAGTGATTAATATTTATCTTTATAATACAATACATTGTTCTAGTATATGTTACGTAATTATAAATATGTAATTGTTCGAGAAATGCATGATATTTTATTTAATATGTAATGACGAGTAATAAGGATATATATTTTTGATAGCAAATTTATACCATCGATGTCTAAATGCTACAATTTATTTTAAAAAGAAATTTTATCATTTAAAAATATTAATTTTGTAAATTATTTAATAGATTTTAAAACTAGCATCTATAAATGAATAATATTTCGTTCGTTGGTCAAACTATCACAAAATATCATTGAATTTTGAAATCAAATAAAAAGTAAATTATAATATATTTTTCTAATTTTTAAAATAAAAATATTTCATAACAATATTTTATCTTACTTAGCAATAGATGTTATATATATATAAAATAAATGTAATGTTTTATTATAAAAAAATTTGTTTCATGTTAATTGTTAATTATGTTTTTGAAAACAATACTATTCATAATATTATAATTATTTTTAAAATTACTTCGACCATTATTCAGTTTTAATTTATTCCAAAATAATTTTTTTCAATAGAATATAGAATATGATATTTAATGCTAATAATTCAATAGAATATGATTTTATTAAGTTTAGTATTGTCTTATATATATAAAGATTGAAATTACAATAAATATGTATGTAGACTTGTTTGTGATTCTAACAAAACTTCTTAACATTCATATAAACAGAAGTTTGAAAATAAATTATTTATTTTATTTTAATTGCTAAAATATTTCTATATGGGCTTCTTTTATATTATATTACTCATTTTAAATTAAATTAGAAACTCGGTTTTTAAACACATCACATTACATACTATTTCCTAATTTTTAAAATGAAGAAAACAATTTAAAACAGTAAAAGTGCTAAAATTGCATATGATAATTTATCTTTACATAGTCCTTTGAAATATCTATAATTAGTTCATTAGATAAAAATAAATTTCAATTTTAATTACATAATTATTATGCAAAATCTTATTTATTATTTCGATGTAATACTTTTATAATGCGAAAACTTATTGGAATTCCTCTACGCATCCAAATTTTAAACATTTAATTATTCATATGCAGTTATAACTCTTTGACTTCTACACAAAATATCAATAGAAATTAGATTGTTGGTAAAAATATTTATTATGTATAAGAATGTGGAACGAACATTGTTTAATGATATTTCTAAAAATGATCATTTAAATAAGAATAAACTAAACATGATAGTAATAATAAATTATATTTCGTTATGTAGTGATAGTATAAGATAGTTGCACAATTTACGAAAATTTTCATCATTTGTAAAATTAATTTAATATATTTAACTTATAAATTATCATAGTTTGTTTTTAACAATTTCATAATTTTAGATTTACATTTTATTAATGAGATATTATTAAAATAATAAATAATATTAGTAGTAAATAGATAACTATATTATTGGCAAGATGATTCAAAACTATTAGCCAATGGATCCAAAGTATTTTAAATTTGCTGAATATAAAAGTTATATGAGTTTTTAAAAATTTTTTAAAGCATAATATCAAAATAATTAAAAATAATTGTCTTGAATTAAAATAATTATTCACGTCAATTTTCAAGCATGAAAGTTCATTATTAATAATTCATAAAACTCTAAGTCATAACGCATTTTATAAATAATATGGTCATGTAAATATATAAGAATTTTGTAATTATATTTTTAACAAATATAAGCTAATACTTGTGCAATAATGAACACTATTTTTTAATTAAAAAATTTTGTTCTTAAATTTTTTTAACTCATATAATATCTTGATTTTTGTGAACAATTGCTCTATGAAATAATGAAATTAATTTTTATATTTTATGTTTGCCTAATAAGTTATTAATTGCTGAATTGATTCGTCGCTTAATACAAAAATAATTCGAAATTTATCAATTGTAAATGAATAAATTATTAGACAAGCAAAAAGCTGTGGTTTTAAAAATTCAAAACAAAAAAACAATATTCCTAGCGTTTTAATTAAACTGCAAGAACTAAGTAATTTTTTTTTATTTTAAATATTTATTTTATAAATATTGAAAAACATTAAAAATTAAATATTTTCAGTACAATATTAATAGTTGATATAATTATTTTTACATATTTCGTCGATATACGGAATTTTTAAATTAACTGTAAAGAGCGATTAAATGTATAATACAACTCTTGCGGTAACAAGTAAATATTAATTGATTTTATTAACTTTATTTATTAACATATTAAAATCGCAATTGTTTTAATGTCATTAAAAAACTACCATCTCTTTAATAATAGTACGGTGTAATAATATATCGATGTATGATAAAACAATGTTAAGAAAAGTACTTGGAAAGCATACTAACAGTTACTCAATTTAATTATTTATTAAAAATATGATTAAAATATTTATAAAAATTAATATTTTCCTTTGGATGCTTAATAATAAAACACAATATCAAGTGAGATATTTGATTAATTTGTATTTGATTGATTATTATTATGAAATATTTAATTATAACGTAATAAAATAATATAATATATAATTTGATTACGCAAACATAAATCTTGATATTATTCATATAAATTTTCATGATAATTTAATACTATATAGTTAATTTTTATTAATTATTGATATTATGATTATGCCAATATGCAGTCGCATTATATTTTAATCAAATTTTTAATTTGCTTATTTCATCAGACTTACATTCTTATTAGATATAAAATATTTTTTCTTCCATCAATATTTCCTTTTTCCTTAAAACATAATATACATGGCACATATTGTCATTTATCATTAAAATACAATTTCAATTTATTAATTAATAAAAAAATTAATAACAAAATGAATATTGTTATTATTACAAATATAATTTATTGAAATAATACATATTTTGTTATTTTATACGATAGGAAAATAATATCCCTATGAATAGTCTTATGAAAAAATTATTTTCAATATTTTAAATTAATATGAAAATGAACATTCAATCACGTATTTGTAATTTATTTGTACTGCAGTTAAAACAAGTGCATATTCGTTATAAAACTAGTATTATCAAGTTAACTGTATCTTTATGTACATCAAATAAAATTTTTTTTTAAATTCAATATTTCATTGTAATATCATATAAAATATATCGATAAAAGTGATCAAAATAGTATTTGTTTAACTTATAATATAATATTTTATATATAAGTATTTTTCAGAAATTTTGAAATAACGTTATTACATTTAAACATTTATTATATAGTAAACATGACAAGTAAGAAAAAAAGTATTAAACCGATATATTTCTAATAAAAATTATTTTATCAAATCCTAATGTTAATCTTTTTTTTTTTTTTTTTTTTTTTTTAAATAAATAATTTATGTTTTCTTATACTTTTTGTATTTTACCAAATATTTTTACTATTGCTATGTTGATCCCTTTTTCTGCTATGTACGAATTCAACATACCCTAAGTATCCATCATTATCCAAATCATCTTCTTCAAGTACTTTGTCAATGAGTTCTAAAAAACAGTTTTCTATAATAAAATACATAATATTGAATATACAAAGAACTTACCTACTATCCAATACAAATCATCGTCATCTAAATAATATTCATTAGCATCTTCGTCATTGTCGTGGAGGGTGTGTCGAATAGCATGTAACATCTCCAAACCATCTAATTTTGTATTATTATCAATATCATGAAGCCTATTATAGAAAATAATATAATGTAGATATTTTAGTAAATTTTAGTAAAAATAAGTGAAATAAATGAATTCCAACTAAAAATATCGTTACCTAAAATAATGAAATTCCAGTTCTTGTTCTGACATCTTTGAAATATCTATTTGATTTCCCAATGCTCCCAAATCTTCTTTTATATGCCTGAAAATATTATTATTTATAATATTATATATAGCATTATTATAGATTCATAGATATTACATATATTACGTAGATAATATAATTATGCAGCAATCGTTTATTACATATTGTAAATATATATTTCTTTATTTTAAACAAAATATTCAGATATATCTATATAGGAAGAGTATTAAAAAGAGTTTATTTATGATATTTTTTAAAAATATTATATACAATAATTAAGAATACAAATGTCATTATATATTGAATTTATCAAATAAATTCTATTTTAATAAAGTTCCTATAAACTGATCACAAACACGAAACGTTACAACGAAGAATTATTTGTGCCGCCTTTATGCTGAACCAAATCCGAATTCTATTTTCGCTTTACTTATAAATTCTTATAAGCACCTACTCTATGCATCGTTTACATATTCAAATATATTCACGCTCAGAATCTTTAATACGAATCATAAATATAATCTTTTTAATACTTTTCTCTCTCTCTCTCTCTCTCTCAATCATTAATACTCAATTATTATATTGCTTCCATACAAATTAAAACGTAAATAGATATTTAATCAACGTTGGCCTAATATACTTACATATTGTAAAATAATGTTATTACTTAATTAATTATTTAATTAATATACAATGTTATATAAAATTTAATGATATTTTCATTATTATTGTAGAAAATTGATACTATACAATTAAAAATTGTCGACACTATTATAATATTAATATATTTTAAGTAATTATATAGTATTTACTTAAAATCTACTAAATTAATCAATTTCGAATATCTAATTTCGAGAAAACCATATACCACGCTGTTTCCTACAATAATTTGATTTTCCTACAATGCTATTTCATGTTGCTGTGACGAATACGGCACATAGACCGTCTGTTTTATATTCCAAATGTATAAGAAGATATATATACTTTACTGTATTCTATTGTTATGAATTACTATAATGTTCTCGTTAAACGATTTTTATTTCAACTGCAAGAAAATACAAATTTCGCATCTATAAAAAATTATAATTATGAATTTTAAAAAACTATATTCATAGCTCTACATACATCGTTTATTAGGTTGCGGCCCGAGTGGACAATTCAATATTAAAATTTAGTTTAGTAAACTATCATGTACGTAAAACAGTAAAACATAATTCAAAATAAAAACTTTTTATTTATCAGTAATTTATCAATAATACATATATACTATTTATATCTTAATTTTTCGAATATTAGTTTAGACTTGTTTTCTTTTGATAGCAAAAGCAAAGATTTTTACGCGATGATTACAAATTTGAAATGTATTGTCAATATAATCTCACTTTAGCTCACTAAATTTATAAATCTACTTTCTAAATATTCTTTCTTGGAAAAAAAAATAAAATAATAATAATAAATAACTCGAAATCTTTCTACACGATTTTTATATAAAACAAAAGTTATTTTATTTATAATCCATAAAAAATATTGTACTTTGTATTTATAATCTATTCTTCGTGTAATAGTTTTGATTCTTGTCTTCTTATCTATGAGTACTAATTTTGCTACTATTATCCTATTTAGTATTTAATAATACTAAATTTTAATATTTATATTTCTTACATGTATGATTAATTATTTACTGATATATGCTTTATTGGTATATTCTGATTTAAAAAAAAATCAATCAGTGTATACAATTTTAAACGTCGGAGTTGATGGGATAAAAATCTTCGATTGCCATATTGTTAATTCCAAAGAATAAAAATCCGTATCTGTAATCTATTACATTTACATTATTTTTTTTAACAATTTTTTAGATAATTTTTTAGATAATTTTTTAGATAATTTTTTAGATAATTTTTTAACTCCTAACTACAAACGATTAGTTGTATTTATACTATTTTTGTGATTAAAAGTGTTACCATACAACATTGCATTAATGGATCTTATATATTTTATTATGATATAGTTAACATATTTTTTAATTTTATTTTACTTTTGTTTCCTTTAAGAAAAAACTATTGTTGACTTCTTTTTATGATTTTAAATCCTTATTAATTACCATTAATCTTGTACCAAGAATTTAAAAAATGTTTTACACTTCCCGAATCCCAAACAATAAAAACTGATTGATTTTTATTGCCAAGATTGATCACCGTTTTATCGGACTTCTACATTCAATAATGAATATTGAATGAATATGACGAAGTAATCACTTTAATTTATCTCTATATAATATCATTTCAACCTTTACCACAAATTTTAATTAAATATGTCATTTTTAAATTTCTCATTAGTTTTTAAAAATATTGTTAACTGCAAATTTCGATGGCTCTATCATACTTTACTCATTTTCCTATGTATTCTTTTACATTTTTTATTAAGTTAATTAACTTGTATTTACAATTATTCTCTAGATCGTTTTTATTTTGTCTTTATTTCGTCACATGTAAATAACGGTCATTGGTGTCAATTGTTTATAAAATTTTTCTCTTTCCCAATCTATTCTAATTTCTTATTTACTTCTTTTTTTCATTATTTTTTTTCGATCTTATTTTATACATAATACGGCGTAAATCCGTAATAAGTTTATCTAATCATAAATAATCTAAAATAAATATATATTTTAAATATTACAATTGTTTCACAAGATATAATTTCAATGTTTGTTTAATAAGTTTCTTATTATTCTTATTAATTTTTTGTTTACATTAAATCAATAACAGTGTGTTAAGAGTTTGGTTAATGCAATTGGATTACTTAACTTTTATATTTAAATATTAATTTTATCTATCGTTATATAATGATTTTATTAAAAAAAGTTGTTACTATCAATGTACTTAAACAAACGATGAATCTTACGTATATATTTGCATAATTTTGGTTATGTATTGCTGATTAGCAAGAGATTTATTTTTATACAATGGTTTTAAATAAAATTTATCTACTAAAATTTATCTTTTTAGATTTACATAGTTAATAAAAAAAGCCATATTTCGTTAAGTGTAATTGGAAACTTTAGTAATATAAACTAATAATTATTTTTCAGAAAATTAACAATTTCTCAAATAAAATGGAAATAAATCAATTATTTTCAATAAAGACCTTATTATCTTTTGCAATTTTTTGTTTTTATTTTTTATAGACAACTAACAAAAAAAGCTTTTACGTACTAAATGGCATACTTTAATTATATAAAACTTTTAAATGGTATTTAAAATTCAAGAATATTTTCAAAAAGATATTATGGTACAAATTCGACATTTAATTTATTTAAATATATGACTATTTTTTAATCTTCAAAATAATAAACATTTAATATAGTAATTTTACTCTATAATTCAGTTAATTTTTTGTCTAATACGTAATTAAACGAAAAATTATGTAATAATTACATTATATTTAAATGTAAATATGCTTACATAGTATCATGAAGAAGTTCCTCATCTTGTGTTAGTTTCACGTGGCCTTGAGGAGTATAATGGTGATGAGAAATACTGCTTCTGGGATGATGAGGTCCACGAAAACTCGACGCAACATTTAAGACAAATACAATAAGTAATAGGACGAGCATGATTTTTATCCTAAAATCCAAGTATAATTATTAACATGTTTTTATTGTCACAATAACAATTATAATATCGATATTCAATAAAAACAATGAAAAAGTTATCAAAATGTATCAATACTCTTAAAAGGAATGTAAATTAAAGTTAAGATAAATTAATAAATTAATTAAGATAACACAAATCAAACGGTAATAAATAAATTATTAAATTATTAATTATTTATAGTTATTTATATTAATTAATAAATTAATTAAGATAACACAAATCGAACGCTTCACTTTCCTCAAATACATCCTTCGATGCGACGTCTAAATTAATTTATTCAGTTTCTCATTTTAACAAATTTTTGCAATGAAAGAAATATTGAGTCTTACATGAGTGCTTACATAAAAATATCACGAAACATAAACTAAACTAAAATATTATAAAACTTGTGTTTTCAAATTAATATATGTAACAAAGTCTACTAATTAAATTATAATGTAATAAAATCAATTATATTATATAGTATTAGAATAGATATATAAAACTGGGGAATTTATTATAAGAACATATTCTGTTACATTATATATACATAAATCTTAATATTTTTTTATCATTTACAAATGGTTAATATATTTTATTCTGTGAATTCAGCAACCCAGTGATATAACAAAAATTTTTAAATACAAATCTTACAATTAACAAATTGATGTAATTGTAAATGTATATGTGTAATAATTGATGTAATGAACATGTGCCAATATATGCGTGTGTTTGTGTGTTACAAAATAATTACGGGTTGTTAAAAAAATTGCAAAATTTGTTTATGTAAAAGTTTTTTATATTTTCGTTTAATAATAATAATTATGGATCTCAAAAGGTAATTTCATTTCTTTATAAATTCACATAAATCTGTCGATTATTTTCATTTTGCAGTTAGATAATTTTGAATATTTTAATAGTTGTAATCGAACTTTGAAAACTCAATTTGGCTTCAAAATATTTGAATAACTTTAATTTTCCATTTCTTTGATTTAATGTGCATTCCCAGTCCTTTGAGTTCTTTATACTTTTTTAAACACAAATAATATGTAATTTAATAACTTCATTAAATAATTTAAAACAAACAAAAAATAAAAAATCAAGGACATTAAAATATTGCTTATTTGATTAATAGTCATATTATCAAATTCTAGCAATCTTAGATTTAATTTTTCAATTTAAAAGTTTTTTCATTTTTAAAATCACTTTAAATAGACAAGGTCGATTAATCAAAGAGAATACTTCTTTTTTTTTTTAATTTTTACAATAAAATAATTTTTTAAATACGTTAACATAATTGATTGTAGCGTTATAATTGAAAAAAATTAATATTTTGAAAATATCGTGAATGCATTTATGTAAATAATGAGTACTAATGACAAGATAGTATGTGATAAAGAACAAACAATTTTACCAAAAATTCAACAAAATCTATCACTATAATTTATGTATTAGATTATTAACATAAAAATTATTATATCATAAAAGAAAGAATGATTTACAGAATTAATAAATAAAAATTTATGTTATACATAGAATTTAAATAATTGTAATTGTAATAGTTTTATACATTATGCATTAATTTTAATCTCTCTCTCTCTCTCTCTCTCTCTCTCTATATATATATATATACATATATATATATATATATATATAGAATTTCCGTTCGGTTAGTTCGAAAATAATTTTTAATAAACTTTTTAAATATATATATATATGACTATCATAATTTATAAATATCTTATTTCAATGAAAAATTTTTTTTTATTTTCTTAGATAATTGTCGAACAGTTTAAAAACTGATTTTAATAATAATGTGGATTTACATTATAATCTTCGCTAAAAATTCCAAAAATAAACAATAATAAAACATTTTTATGCCAAGTCATGCAAAAAAAACTAGTAGAGCGAAAAAAGACGACTCGTTGCGATTGAAATATTTTGAGCATTGCACATTGACAATGGAACCTGCTGTGTGCCAAGTACATTGATTAAAGAAAAAGAGTGAGAAAGAGAGAGACAGACAGACAGAAATTTTCCGAGACACAATCAAGATTCTTACTTTCTCCCTTTCTCTGATACTTGCTTTACATGAACAGATGGACGATGAGGGGGGGTCCCAGTAATTATTATGCGATTACCCACAAGCCCATTGATTTAGATTGGTCCACTGCAGTCAGACGAGTGTTCAAAATTCTCTTTTTCTCTCTCTCTCTCTCTCTCTCTCTCTCTCTCTCTCCCTCCCTCCCTTCCTCTCGTACGCACACGTTCAAACGTTCATACATACGTACTCTCTGTTTCGTTTTTTTCGCTTGCACTCAACCTATATATCATGATCACTGGTATTGGTCATTGGTTCATAATAATAACATACTTTATTCGAGCTTATCGTTCTGTTTCCTGTTTCTCTGTTTGTAAAAAAAAAAAAAAAAAAAAAAAAAAAAAAAAAAAGTGTACACAGTACTTTTACATCACTCTTATTATAATAAAAAGACATACACTTAATACGCTTAATAAATTCAGTTAAATTGCAATGAAAGTATGAAGACCTATCTTTTTTATCATTTTCATTATTTGTACATAAAAAAAAAGTGAAAATTGATATGGAAAATATGCGACTCTATTTACATTAAAATTGAACACGAAACATTCCATTTTTAACGCGAATGACCACAGTACTGAACCCTCCATTCCCATATGCACTTATTTATTCAAGTCGTATCATAATCGTACCATTAAAATAAAAAACTTGGGCTAAATCAATGATATGACTATTAAACCAATGCATTTAAACACAATCGAACGTAGAAAATGAATTATTTTAAAATAATTGAATCTTTATGAACATTCGATCAAGCATTGTTCTCAATTACATTACTATGAAACAAAATTAATAGTATAATGTACCATCAATACTTTTAATTAATAAAATTAATTGTTTTAAATTTCGAAATGAAGTATTTTTTAAATCTCTAATAATTGATAGAGATCGAGAGTATAATTTGGAATTGCAGCCCATTTCTTTCATTATCCTACTGTTTGAATATCGACTCGCGTGATATCATCAACAAGTGATAATTGTGGTTTAAAATTTTATTTATCCAACTCTGCCTCTTAGAATCCAATGGAAGTAAATACGACAATTCCATTATCGATCTCTGATCTTCCAATAAGAATTAAATACATAATCGTTTATCGTAATAATTCGAAGCTCGCACAAGTCGCCAATCCTTAATCCTTTCGTTACAAGAAGCTGAACGATGAGATTTAATATTGAAACGTCATTATTAATTTAACATTTCAGGGGAATAAAATAATAAAGAAGACGCATGGAGCTACAAGAGCCGAAGTATGCCAAGAAGAGTTTATTAATTTTGGTCCCGAGAGCGATAAAGATATAGATAAAGAGAGTTGGAACTCGGTACTTTGAGAGATTTTTCCGTGCATAGGGGCGCGCGGCGAATCGTATGGGGCGGGCAAGGAGGGGGTGAGCACCAGTCATCTCGTCGACGCCTGAGTATTGAGAATGCATATGTCGGAGGAAACCCTAAGGGGTTTCGTACTGCAAGTGGACCCCCGTGGCCGCGCGCACACGCTGGGGTAGTCCTTTCTCGGTGCGCCGTCGTCCGCGCGGACTCACCCTCCTCGGGTGTCGAAATCTATAAATAATTTATATCATTTGGCCCATTCAGCCCGCAGCGACAGCCCATATGTACCTGTGTCGTCTTACACGTCAAACTACACCCTCAATCGCACTTCACTCTGCTTTACTCCACTTAAGTCTGCTTTACTATACTTTTCCCCGCTATATCCTGTAGCTTAATCTGTTCCTCCTATTTTGATTATTTTGATTATATGCTTTTCCTACGGCTTTATATCTATATTCAAGCTTACCTTCCCTCTCTAAACTGAATTTCTCACTACTTGTGTCTAACTCTTACTTTTGCTTTTGTATAATGTAAAACGACTGTTTCATTATGTTGGAAAATTTTGGAATTGATATGAATAAAGATTTTGTTAAGGTCTCAAGCCCGGTAGCTTGAATTAATGAATTCATTTATTACAATTTATCCGCAAATTTACATTATTATACTATATTTTTATCCTAGTATTGCTTTCAAAATCTGTTTACTTTAAATAAGGCTTGAAACGGATTTAACTTAAAACGATTACTCGCGCAAGTTTTATTTGCAGAACAAAACTCATGTCACCAATATCTTGTTAATTAATCTATTATGATTCTATTGTAAATTCTATTACATAAATAACATCGAATTTTAATACACGAATGTTGAAGTAATAATAGTTGAACTAACAAATTATTCAAAACCGTGTGTAATATATTTTTTTTTAATATTATCTAATTTATAATTTTTATACATTAAAATTTAATTAAAAATGCATTAAATTTTACTATATGGGTGGCAATAATATATTATATTGTTTAATATAAGATGTAATTGAAGTAACGTAGTATTATAATTATTTTTCATTAATACAGATTAATATAGATATTTAGCGGTAAAATTTACAAAAATTTTAATTTCTTCTAAATTCTATAATAATTTATTATCATTAAATGACGTAGAATAGAACATTGCATATTGCAATTGTAATTATTCGCATATTTGAGGATATAAACGCAACAATTTCATGCAAAAATGTTTTAAATATATTTCGAAAGTAATTGTTGCTTAAAGAGGAAACATTAAATAAATAATCAAAATTTAGTTTATCAATTAAAAAATATTATAAAATATAAAGATAAAATTATAAATGTTCATGCTTTTTTCCTCCATTTTTTAATATTATTTCTAATTAATCAATTATTATATCATATTCAATACTAAATAGCCACTAATATATCAATACTTTTTCAATTTTATTTATTATACTAATGACTAATTGATACAATGGAAAAGACTGTACGTTTATATAATGAATAATCTCAAAAAAATAGCCTAATATATATTTTAACATATTAACAATTTATTGTGATCTATTTATAACTATATATAAATAATATATGCAATTATATATACACACACACACATATACACACACACACACACACACACACACACACACACACACACACACACACACACACATATATATATATATATATATATTGTTTTTTATAATTTTTTTTTTTTTATTATAATGTATTATATCAATAAATTACGTATGTTGGTATAAATAAATTCATAATCTAGAATGAGAAATCTTATTGTAAAAAAGAACAATATGAAGAAATATAAATTTACAATGGATCTGATAATAACATTTTTAAATATGATTTTATGTTAAATTCAATATTCGTAATATGTAACATTATCAAGTAGTTATATAACTTTTACAATAAATATTAGTAAATAATTTAATGTTACATAATTTTATATGTATATTTTATAACATTTGTTAAGCATTGTTTAGTAATCAATTGGTTTAAAGAAATTCTTAAATAATATATTTCAATATATAATACACGGATATATATATATATATATATATATATATATGAACTTATTGTTATTCATCTGTTATTATTATTTAAAAAAAAAAAGAAAAAATAATTTGGTCAATTGCTAAATATAACAAAAAATCTTGGACATAATACAATAGAAATTTATTAGAAATTTTTACATTTTAAATATAACACTTTTATCATATATGCATAAATTAAAAAGCTCGTTAATAAAAATATTGATTTAATTTTTATTGAAACATTCATAGTAACAAGTGTCGAATGTATTAGACAGAAATGAAAAGAAAATTTATATATCGCAGTGTCCATAATTAACAAGTATACCCACACAAAGTGACCTGATAATTGACAAAAATATATTTCAATATTTTTAAACTTTATAACAATTGTATAATAAAAGATAAATTAATAACAATTGATTTCAATTAGCATAATCAGCTCCATTTATTCTAGTCATGTCTGTATTTTTAAATTGTATTCTATTATTTTATTAAATTATTGACAATCGCTATTCCTCCTAGCAAAACAATAAATGTCAACAAGATATATGAATTTATTATATGCTAAATTAAAGGTACTCAATGAAAGTTGCGCACGCCCATTAATTAATAGATGGGGATGTTTTGATTAGTACGCTGGTGGAAGGCTGTCAAGCGTCGTAATTGCCATTTGAATCGCATGTACAACGAAACTTTTATTTTGTTCCATTGCTCGCAATTATAACATTCACAATACAATAATATTTAAGCATTTGACAAGGTGACGTTTAATCGCATCACCGTGTCTCTCTTCGTTATTATTGGAACGTACCTGGTGAGGTTAACTTTTAGCATTAGTCGTTCAAAGGAACTCCTCGTTATTTACGAATAACATTGCTCATCACGCACGCACGCACGCACGCACGGACGCACGGACGCGCGAGCGCACACACACACTATCAAGTATAACGTTCTTCATAATCCCATCATAATTTTTAATGGCAATAATATTGACTACTAGTTATACTAATGAAATTCTTCGCACTTACTCGTTTGGAGGTGAATAAAGTTGTAAATTACGTTTGAAAAATTTTGAAAGAATTGTAGATGTTTATAAAATGCATCGTCTCAGCAGTTAGACAAGGATCGTTGATACGATGTGTCTCGTGTATCGACGTTTGTTGTAGAAAGCGAGTTTGCGTGTTTTGGGAGTTGCGCTCAATGATGAAAATAAATTCGCGCCTTTGCTATGCTTTTTCAATCACGATAATTCTATCTGCTAATGTTTTTAATTTCTTTTAATTAAAAGACAACTTTTCTTTATAATTATAATAGAATTTGCCATTATCACTAATAATAAGATGTCTATGAAAGATTTTTAATACTAATATAAACAGAATTTTAATATCGACTTTATCTAAGTAATTCAATGTTCTGATGCAATCATCGATTTTTATGAATACTTACATCATTAACTGTTGTAAAATTAAAATAGCAAGCCTTTAGTCACAGTTCAAATGCAAAAACTTTTAAAATAACAATACGAATATAAAGAATCCTTAAATATTCTATGCTATCGCTTACATGATAATTGCAAAATGAAATGACAAAAATTTCAAGTTAAAATAAAATTATTTTCCTTTTAATTTATTTTTACTCGCATTTATTTTATACAATTATTAATAAAACTATAAAGGTTTCGTTATTTTTTTGTTGAAATCGCCTTATTTTAAATGCAGGCCATATTTAATTACATATTTAATGATAAATATTATGTTAAATAAAAAATATAAGTCTAATTCAAGTAATTATTTATATCTATTTTTCCATTGAATATAATGGGAAATACTATAAAGTGATTTTTGTAGAATAGAAATGAATTGAGAATAAATATGATTGAAATGTTATATTAAATGATGATTGTTAATTTGAAAGAAATTTTTTTTTGTTTTGATTGTGATAGAAACAATATATATGATTGTTAAAAAAAATATTAAAATATTAATTGTTTTATTTTAAAAAATTCACAACTACCATTAAAAATTAATAGTATGTAACTATAATTCATAAAGTGTATATTTTCCAGAATTTTTAGAAAATAGTAAATTTTATGAAAACAAAAAATTATAAAATTTAGAATAGAAATTTAAATAGAAATAGTATTTTGTAATTGTAAAGTGTAATGATAAAATGTATAATACATAAAATATGAATGAAATATTATTATTTATTTATTTATTTAATCTGTTACTTATTTTTCACATTATTTTTTTTGTATCAAAGTTTTTTAATTCGATTAAAATAGCATTTATCATACGGATATGCTATATATAAATATTATTTACTTATAATATTAGGTTACGTAGCGCAATCGTCTAATTTAATTATTTTATTTAAACATTTAATAAACATTCCCTTATATTACAATATGAGAATTTTAATTAAATTACATAAAAGTATAATATTATTATTTAAATCTCTGATATTTAATCTATAACTGAATGTAGAGGTTATTTTAGGTGATTTTATTTAAAAAATAAATATTTAATATACAAGACCATAGAAATTTTTTAAAAATTTTTATGCAACGAAATTTTTATAAACATATTTTTATAACAACGATACTACTATATATGTTAATGAAACAATATTACTATATATTTCATAAATATTTTTAATAAACTTTAAATACAAATGTGTATATTTTCACAATAGTTTTAAGTAAGTTGAAAATCTTATTCAATACAGTACAAGCAAATATAAAGATAAGATTCTTAAAGTCTGAAATCAAATTAAAAAATTTACATTTCTATTCAACTGTCAGAACGTTGTTCAATTCGATCGATCGTAAAGTCGACCGCTAATTGAACATTAATTGAAACCGCAACACTGTATACGTAAATATATAAATGATAAAACTATATCTAACATAATTCTTTTATTTTCGCTTCATATGTTTAAAACAAAACCATAATAATCTCATAAAAATATGTTTGTCTCGTGTATATTTATGCGCGAGGGCAAATCAATAGTCCATATTAACAAAATCTGTAGTATTAAATATATAAAACAAATAAATTGGAGGTTGTTTGACGATATCTGAGAATACTAGCTTTCTCGAAATATAATATCAACCTACCATAATTATAAACATTGATAAGGTATTGACAGCAAATTATAAGTGTTATTTAAAAAGGATTATTTATTAAAATTATTATTACTTATAAAAATTAATATTTGAACATAATCTGTAATTGGTATATTAAAAATGTTATTATTAGATTTATAATTGGATATCTAAATGTTTCAATGAAACTATCTATTTATTTATATATACTAATTAATTAATAGATATATAATGAAATATTTTACAATATATAAGAGTTTATCGTAGTCATATCGAATGTAATGAGTAATATGCATTTAAGGTGTGGAATTGAAATAGAATAAGTTGGGGCTACGTTGTTTAAAAATCTTATTTCAATCTCTATATTACAATATTCTGCTCAAGTGAATAGATAAAATTTATATCCTACAATGGGAAAATATATTTGCATATAATTTTTAGTCAATGTTGATAAAATATTAATATGTAATTTTTTTAAATTGACATCAGAAATTGTATTTTAATGACTATAAAGATTAAATGTGAAAAATATTTTAAATTTGTAATATTAAAATTTCATCATAATTTTAAATATCGTTTTTAAATATCGTAAAATTCTATATCCTAGGTATCACTGGTGATTCTGAATCTACTTTGCAATAAAAAAATCAATAAATTATTCATGAACTATAATTGTTAAAAATATTGTCTTTACTTTTTAAAATTTTAAATAAATGATTTTGCTTTGTTTTTTATACTAGAATTTATTGACATTTTATTATGTAAAAAGGCAAAATTAGTTTTTTAAATGACATTTTTTATCATAATTCTAAACAATAATAATAAAAGTCTTAATTTTATATATATATATATTTCTTATATAACACTTGTTGTAATTTGTCTTATAAATTATCTTATAAATCTCATATTTATATTTCTTAATTTAACTTGTACGTGTGTTTAAATGTAAATATAATTTATAATTGCATACACCGATAATTATAAATTGTAATGGTGATGATACTACCATAATCAATGCTATTATATATGTTAAGTAATATTGAAAAATAATTTTCATTACATCATTTGGCACTGTAACGTGAAAGCAGAGTTTTTTTTTGTATTTACATATCCCTCTAATACCCTTATTAGAGAATTCATATTATAATAAATGTAATTCTTATAACTGAATTGACATTTTAAAATTCATAAATGCTCTACATTTTTTAATAATAAAAATAATTATTACAAAATTTAATATTAAACGAATGTTTTCTTTGATTCATATTAAATAAATATCATTTATTAAATCATTTAAAACAATATCTTAACGGTATTTAATATTTATGAAATTTATAAATTTTTTAAAATAATGATTCGATATATTATTTTTTTTTTATTTATTTGTTTATTTTATGTTATTTTTTTTTTTTTTTTTTTTTTTTTTTTTTTTTTTTTTTTTTTTGTGTGGTAAAGGTATACAACATATAAATATATATATATATATATATATATATATATATATATATATTGAGTAACAGCATTTAATTTTCATTCTGAAAAATCATTGTTATGTATTATTATCACATATAATTTAAAAATATAAAAGTATTATATATTTTTTTTATTTTGAATTATGCATCTAGACAAATTACTTTTACTTTGGTACTTATATATAAGCTTTAGGCATATTAATTGTATATTGTGATTGGCTTAATATTATATCTGACATTTAACCAAGCAATTGTGATTTTTTGATGGCTATCATTTTTTAGACGAATTCTGTGATTTATAATAATAACAATGTACGAGTGCGTTAAATTAAAATTAAAAGAAAAAACACAACAAACAAAATTAATACGAAAACAAATATTTGTTTTTATTTAAGTGTATAATCATTGATTAAAAATATTAGTTATCAACACATAATATAACTTTTCAATAATTAATAGGTATATTGAATCTTTTCTTGCTATTTTACATATTTTTTTTTAATGAAATTATACTCTAAAGCGCATATTGTATAAGAATGTTCAATACTTATTAGGAGTTCAGCCTAAGATTTATCTTTAATATGTTCGAATTCAATTTGATTATTTTGAACGTAAAATTAAAATAGAAGTTACGACTGGTTGGTTTTTTAAGTGACAGAAAAGGAGAAGATTACAAGGATTAAAGTCATCCAGCAATAAGGGTTCATCCTGCTGCCAAGACCATACCGCAATCTCGGCATCGTAAAACGGTGAGCCGTCGAGCATTTAAGGATATTATCTAGTCTTGTGGTTCAGCACGGCAGTTTGAACCCTAAATAAATTACTTCATCAAGTTTTGCTCATTTCATCTTTTAAAAGTTTCTTCCTCACTCTATATCATTGAAATGGTAGTTACAACTGTGTAATGGCTTCTGTACTGCTAAGTTTTTTCATTTCCTATTTAAGCAATTCCACACAACGTATGACCATCTACATAGAAGCACACAAGAATGCAAAAAGCTCCCTAATGCGAATGTAGCTTTTTCGCAGGGACTCGAGGGCAAAGATGCTAAGTGCAAAATTATTTTTAAAATATTTTCTTAACCACGTTAACCTAAAAGCTGACCGACCTCACCTCTCGCTCCCGTCCAACGAACTATGTGACGCGCTGGCCGACCCCTTTCCTTTCAACTCGTTGCGGGCAACGAGGATGACAGGGAGGACAGAAGAATCAACAAACAGGGAAAGAAATCAGAAATCCAGCGGTTTTTCCAGTCGCGCTCTGTACTTGCCAACCCTTTTAAAGGCATTACGACTTGGCCAGCTCATAATTCTTTTACTCTTTCATGAAAGCCTACTCCTTTCCTCTTGACCCAAGCTATTATTCCTGCTTTTTCTTACTGCCGACCCTTGCCAACGCATTTTGTGGAAATTATAATTTGCCGAATGATCAAAAGATACCTATTAAAGATTTATATCATAAGTACTCTCATAGAATTATATATATATATATATATATATATATATATGTATACTGACTTTATAATGGATTAATTAAAATTAATGTTTATGCATTGGGTAAGTTA